CAGTACGCGTGAGAAGGATGAAGTTCAGCGAATGAAATCACAGTAAAAATTAAAATCTTCGGAAAATAAATTCATACAATATTCACATTGTTCCCCAAAAACTGGAAACATTTCCAGCCGAATTTTTCCGACCTACAATACTAATAACAACAGGATGACGCAAAAGTCGCACCTTGTTTAAAATTTAGTTGGCATCAAAAATCCTAAAATTTGTAAGTTGGATTAATCCTTGAACAAAATAAAAAATAACGGACCGATAAAGAAAAATAAAAAAATAACTGGGAAAGTAAATAAAGTGAAAGCACAAACAGAAATCAAACGGAGAAAGTACACATTTGTCACCGCTTTGTCGCACAGCATGTTTTATATTTGTTTTTTTTTTCATCCCCCAGTTTCAACTACAACTAAAAATAAGAAATAAAATAAAATCGAGGTTATAGAAAAATTTTATGAATTTATTTATCTACGAAAAAATAGTAAAAATCAGTTTCATAGCGTCAATAAACGTCGTAAATAAGTGGTGCATGGCGATTGGAGAGAGCGACAAGGACAAGTAAGCACATTAAGCGTGGAGAAAGCAAAAAAATTAGAAAAATCAAGTACAGCTACTTGCACCACATTTGATTTCCCTTCATGCCTAATAAAAGTCGGACACAGACTAAAATCGCGCATATAAAACGGAATCATCTCTTATTTATGGAGTTGGCAAGTGGCCAAAAACACACACAGCGGGCACTGCAATTCTAGCGTGAAGCATGTTAGACACACTTCATGACTGCACTTTCACTGGAGCATGTTCCACTAAAATTAGAAAGTATCGCACTGCAGTGGATGACGCAGGGTTTCGACTTTCTCAACTTATGCGCTACAGAGTTTTATTAGCAGAGTTGAAAAAATGGGAAAATGAGAAAATGAGAAAATATCGTAATTGGTGGATTGTAAGGTTCTGATTATTCGAGTTTCTGATAATTTGTCACATTCGAAGCCGTGTCAGATTAATCAATTTAAAAAAACATATGTAGTTGAGACATTTGCATATTTACTGAACCTACGACACAGCACAAACTCACAATTCTCTCATTGCTCAAACTGTTCAGAACTGTAAACACAGTCGTGTTTTATATGGAAGACAAAGCCAAGATTGATATTATCGTACGTACATTTTCCCTTGAATGCCACCCCGAAACCCTGATCTCTTGGTGGAAATAAATACAGAGTAATTTACAAGTCCATTCCATGTTGTTCATCCTAAATGAAGGCTTTGTTGTCCTTGAATGAAGTTAGTCCCAAGAAGAATGAATGTATTTATATTTAGCAGCAGAGATTACAACTAATTACGTACAAATTTATTACCCCGTGGTCAAGTTCAATAAATCATGCGTACCTCCTCATGGCATTGCAATTTATTTTTACAAGGGCGCCCACCCTTCCCGTGTTATAATTATAACATGTCGAACACGGGTCAGGCTTCGAGGCGAAGGTCAAAATTCCCTAAAAATTGATATCAAACTTTCCGTCATCAAGGTTTCCTATTTATAGCGACGAGGCAAGAAATTCATTACTTTTTATTATGCAACTCTTTCATACATACGTAGATCCATCAGCGCACTGCAAATCCACCCTAAAAAATGTGCCATTGTTACATTTTAGTATCGATTTTATCTACCCAGTAAACAATTTAGTATCACATTTTCTTACCAGGTTGACTTTACCATACTTTGTGAATTAATTAGAGTGCATATCGCATCATGTCGCACGGCAAATGATGGGAGAAAGTTCGTGACTAATTCCTCCTGCATGCAACTTATTGGCCATTTGACCCATAAAAGTTGAGAACAAGGACACAACCCGCTCGTTCCGCTGGGTGGCTTGGCATGTTTGCCTGGTGGTGTGAAATATCCGACATTTCAGGGCCGCGTCTTTTTTCGACTAAATTGAATTCTACGGACTGACGTAACCGGGAGAAAGTAATTAAATACGCGAAAAGTGCATTAAGCCGGGTTTGATTGGAAAAGTTTTTATTGTATTTAGAGGACTTTTAGAGGGTAAAGGAATACATGAAATTCAAATTTTGAATGTGTTACGTAAGAAAAACTTTGGACTTTGTTACTACTAATTGGGTAAAACTTCATAATTGTGAAAGTTCATGTCTAAAATTTTATAAATTTCAAAGGACTGTAAATTATGTTTGACGCAGGAAAAATAAAATTACAATATTTGCAAATTGAAAATGACTTATGGAATAATCTGGTCAGAATTATTACGCCAATCAATCTAATCAACTATTTCGTGAAATTATAGCTGCAAAGGTTTCAGTTCACCTTATTTACATTTTGCACCAATATTTAGAAGAAGCAGTTCTGACTTTATGAAAACTTTGTGAGTAGGAGGTGATGACAAACAACTTTTATTTAACAGTTATTACTCGAAGCTAAGTTATAACCCCACCGAATTGCCTAAATTTCAAATTTATATGAATTTTCATATAAACTTTTGACATTGCACAAGTTTACAAAAGTAAGATCCCTTGGATCTCCCCGATAAATGTATATCTCGATTTTCCTTCCTTTGCCAATTGTGACTTGCGAAGTATGCAGACTTAAAAATATTCTCTGTCGATATCTGCTCACTGCTGAGGCAATTCCCAAAATCCCGCTGAGATTAATGAAATACTTTCTGCAAGACCCCGCATCTAGAAGCCACTGACCGATTGCTCGATTCACGAAAGCCAACCACCTTTAATTTAATGAATGCGGTGATTTTCTCCACGTGGAAAAAACTGAATGAAACTTTCACCCAAAAATAAATCCAGCCCAAACCACTAAAACATGCTTTCTCGATTTTTTTATCCGGGTAACTTTTCCTAGGCTGAAGAAAGTTTTACCAAATTGGCCTGCGGGTCGTGCACTAGGCATTTGTTGAGTTAAAGCATCTTGTCCACCTCAACGTTAATTTTGGTGGGGCCAATCTCGGGGGGACGTGCTCCATGTGCGGCTCCCAGGTTGGTAGACTAACTAACCTCAACTGGAGGAAATAAATTCCATGCCAGGATCAGACCATGATCGCATTAGAGGGTTCTTTTCTTGCACATCACGTTACGTGTTTTATGGGCATGCACTCTTAAGACTTTGGTAACACATTTTTTACCGGCGGGGTTTCCTAATATTTTTGGTAAATTTTAAGTTGACTTTTTTCATTAAGTTTTGTAAATTCTGTAGCCAACTAGTACCACATGCAAATAATTGAGTGTTTTTAGCAACGTTTTTTGCCAAAATCACTCTATACGAAGCTTGGCAATATTATATGTCACACTGATTTAGTGCTTTCTAATTTGTCCCCCAGTGACAACAATTTTGACATTGGAGGTAAATAAATTTTTCCATTTAGTGTCAAATAACGATCATATACGCATGCTATAATACCGTCCAGTCATCACATTATTGCCAAGTTATTTAGAGTGTATCCAGAATCGATGGGATTGGGTGGGGACGACAAGATGAAGATTCATGGCGTTGCGGGTGCTGCATTCTTTCCACCAAATTAATTGATTTACTGAAAATGGGATGATTTTTCTGGAAAAGAGAAAGTTAGCCTGTTCCGGGCCGCACATAAAGCGTATCCTCTCATTTTCTGAAAGATTGACGCATATTCGTCATGTTAAAATTGGCATGCGAATGATACTGGACTTGTATGAAAATTTTACCACCTCAAATTGGTCACATGCTTCATGCAAAATCTATTTCCTGGTCAGCGTGAATGAATTGAAGGCGTAACCAAATCAGAAGTTTATTTAGTAATGCGACAACCTTTCATTTTTTACAAAATATTTAAGTATGCTCAATAATTTACTCGTCTAAAATAACATTTACTTTTTATAAACTTCGCAAAGTCAGGTTACAGAAAGTTGGGATAATTTAGTGCAACTCACTTGCAATAAAATAATGAGTATTTGCATATTTGTGTACAACTTATTTTTAAAGAAAATGCTTAAATGATCATGACCCCTTTGTAAACTGTGAAAATTCATAGGAACACTTAATCCATTGACTCTTCTGTTTATACGCTGTGTTAAATCTATAAGCTAACTTTATCGACGTTTCCACAGTGTTACAAAGATTACGAAGGAAAATCAGACTAACAATCTATCTATCGAGGGCTTCTCTTTTTTGTAAAAGTTCGAAACAACAATTTCACAAAACTTGCACAATCCTATTAAATTGCCTCAGCAGAACAATTGACTACGCTCGCCGCCATTCGTCTTAATTTGTTAAACCTTGACGGACTTTACTGCTTGAAGATAACGACTGACCGCAGACGGCTGAAACTGATCTTTCTTTAACAGAAAACAAATTGCGAAATTCGTCCAAAACAAGGAATGGACCTTACTCAAGTCAAACTAATGTAGAGTTGCACAATAAATCTGTCAATTAGTGGGGATATTTCGAGTCACAATTTATCCTTGTTATTTCCACACCCAATCTTCCGTCTTATCGAAGACATCCTAACATCATAATTTAGTACGAGATAAAATATATTGAACGCGGTTGAAAATTTATAAAATTTACAGATTTACGCATTCACGCACGAGTACTTATTTCTTTTAATGTTCGAATGTCTTAAGATTGATTAAAAAATTTGTACCATTCAAAAGTAAGTAATTACTAGTAAAACATTTGTTAAGACAGTTTAGGGATTAAGTTTAGGAATTCTCGCCTAATTTGCAAAAAAAAATGCTACACTAAATTGTGCAGAGGCATAATCACGACAGCTTGCATATATCTCATAAATCTCTGCACATTACTTACAGTTTTTTGAGAAATTTCTCAAGATTTTGCAAAATTTTGCTGAAAAGTATGCGATTTTTATTCTCTAATTTACCCAGCAAAATACTTACCTATATATTTACAGCAAATTTACATTAATCCATGTAATTATTCATTTAAAAAAGTAATGCCCACTTATTAATAAAATTGACTAATTTAATCAATTTCTATTTGCAGGATACTTTAGCGGGGGTTTGCGTGGTTTGGCGGTGGACATGGCGGTGTTTGGGGAGATTTTGCGGATGCGTAAGCCCAGCCTGCACGCGCAGTTGTGTCGTTTGCAAGGGGGGGAGGAGCAGCCCCCACTCATCGACGTCTTCACCATGCACTGGTTCCTCACCCTCTTCATCCACTGTCTCCCCACCCCCTCCGTCCTCAGGGTAAGCTCACCATCCATTCACTCTTTCTCTACCAATTCTGGTAATTTGGTACCAAAGCGGTCACACGACTCGTTACCAACATTATGCTTGATTTCCGGTGCCGTAGGTAGTTAAATAAGTGTTATTACAGGTGTACTATTTTGCTACATAATTTTGTATCAAACTGTTGTTACCGGTCCAAATTTTGTAGGATTTAGACGCCGAAATTTTGAAATGTAAAAAATTTTGATTTAAAATGAAATTAAGGTTTGTCAGATCAACTGGTTAATTGTTACCAGAACGGTATTGAACTTCTCAGTCGCTTTGATGAGTTACTCTTCCGGTCTCGTTATTTATTAGCTTGAGTTGCATGAAGTGTGCATAATACAGCTCATTGATCGTTATGCAAAATATGTCAGAAACACCTTGTCTTTCGGAAATATCATGTTGTCGATATTAATCTAAAACACGCCATGCAAACAGTGTGCCTGGGACGAATCCAACTTATGAATAATGTTTACAAATATCCGACAGCTTTGTCGCTAATGAAGGAAAATGTTGCAAATTATGCATGCAAATATGCAAATTTTGGCATGATATTCATTCATACTCGTAATGGATGAGTGGAGGAGAGCGTATTTTAGGAGTGAAAATGGTCGATCGTAAAGTAAACTGGGACAACAAAAGCCCGCATTTTTAGAGAACAATATACCTCCACTGTTTTCCTAATGAATTATTAAAAAGGTTAAGCTCCCACTTCGAGGAGGAACCGGGCATGAATTTTAGCGTGCAAATAACAAGTGTGTTCCGCATTTGGGAACGATTTCTTTTTATTATCTGCTCCATATTTACTGATTATTTACTGTATTTATTACCGAAAGAGGTAAAATTTTTCGTAAAAATTGCATCTTTTGCATACGGATCGTACCGAGATGTGAGAGACTGAATATTTTTGAGAAGGATAATAATTTCGTAAGGGTCCATGCATTAGGCATGCGATCGACTCGGTGGGGGTCAGGTGTCCTACACTTCTTTCCATTTTGATGTCGAATGTCGGTGAGGTGAGGTGAATGGCCAAACTTGTCCGAAAATCGATACCATGCTTCTTGCACGGTGCCCACAATATGCAAATGTGGGATTATTATATGGAGACTAATGGATTTTATGGAGACACGTTTTGCGTTGTGACTTGAGTATCTATTGCGTATTGTGCTGGAATGAGTACCCAGATAAAAAAGTATCACTAGTGAGTGCTTAACCAAAAATGAGATTGCATGGTTTGATGAAATTCATATTTGACCTATGACCACACCCTAGGTCAGCCCGAGGTCAGAGACTAGTATGATACATATAAACACTTTTTTCGCTGAATGGTACCACTCTTAGGATTAGAACGAAATTGGATTGTGCATAAAATCGTTGACACGTTTTTTATATGTTGTGCTTGCAGATTTGGGATCTCGTACTATTGGAAGGTTCGGAAGTCCTCTTAAGAACGGCACTAGTTTTGTGGGCAGCTATTGAAACGTAAGTTTGTCAAATGCGCACATTTGTGGATTTAGCTGTATTTAAATCTAGCAAAGCTATAAATACATATTTAATTTGATTTTGTCAGTTTTGCAATTGGTCTCATTAGTCACAGTCTAACTGTAACCGATTCCAATAATCCTTTCGATAATAATACGCTTTAATATATAAATCTGATAAACAAAAGTTTCGATTACAACTTATCAATAATTACAGAATTGGTTTGCAATAGATACAAAATCTTATCATTGAAAGAATGAGGGTATTCGTTATTTCTTCGTATCCGTAGTATCGTAAAATAGTTTACGAAGATAAAACAAGGGGTCAGGTTTCGTAAAAATCGTAAGCGTAGTAACGCGATTTTCGATGAGAAAATCTTACGACGCTTACAAAATCTCGTAAGCGTCGTAAGTTATTTTACGATACGAAGAATACTAAGGATACGAAGAAATAATGAATACCCTCAATATATTTCTAAGGAGGGGAGCTTGCGAGGTTGATAATAACAGATCTTGGTGCCCTTTGGATATGTGGTAGGGACCCATGAGTGTACTAAAACCCTGAAGTAGTTTGACTCCATGGCCACATTTGCGCCCGCCACACCCACTCAAAAATGCCCAAAAAACGCTTTCACTCGAGTTTTCACTCACTCAAATCCACGACAAAAATCCAATTTTACTCGGATTTTGAAATTTCTTTCACCATTATACTCCCAGATAGTTGCTTTCTTCAATCCAATATCAAACTCAATTTTATTGATGATTATTTCGCAAACATAATTTGTTTTGTTGATGACTACAACAATGCTCATTCAGAATTTTAAATTTTAAAAATACTAAAAATTTCGAAAAATTGAGTTTGATATAGGATTGATGAAAGCAACTATCTGGGAGTATAATGGTGAAAGAAATTTCAAAATCCGAGTAAAATTGGATTTTTGGCGTGGATTTGAGTGAGTGAAAACTGGAGTGAAAGCGTTTTTTGGACATTTTTGAGTGGGTGTGGCGGGCGCAAATGTGGCCATGGAGTCAAACTACTTCAGGGTTTTAGTACACTCATGGGTCCCTACCACATATCCAAAGGGCACCAATATCTGTTATTATCAACCTCGCAAGCTCCCCTCCTAAGTCGCAAAATAAGCTTTACAGCCTCGTAGTTAAGCAGCCACAGTCAAAAAATGGAAACTTATCAAATTCAGTAATTTACTAATTTTGGGTAGATGCAAGAAATTGCGGAAAGTATACAAATTTGCGACTTTTTTGATAAATCATTCACTCCATGTGACAGAAAACGATGTGCTTATCCACCAATACATAGATATTGAACAAAGTTGGCGTTAAAAACTGGATTGAACGTTTGTTAACTTGGCTGCAAAACATGATTTGTGGGTTTTATGCACGCACCTGACACGTGAATGAAAATTGAAATGTCTTTGTACTCTGCACAGGCGGATTTTGGAGGTTCGGAGCGCTGACCAATTTTACTCCGTGATGGGCGCCGTGACCAAAGAAATGCTCGAATTCGGCCTCATGGACCCAAACTCTCTCGTCAAAGTGAGCTTTGCATTTATTTTTAACACATTGGTATCACTTGAACATTTATACGTCTTGTTTGTAAACTGTGTAAATTTGTACACATGCTCATTTGTAACTGTGCAGGTTAAGAAAATGAGAATTGATTACGTTTACATAATTTATTTTGACACCGCTAAGCAGATTAAACTTCACCTCAATTTGTACAGATTAACAGCGTCCCTTAAATAATTTCGTGGTTGGAAACTAACAAAATTTATACAGTTTACAAAGTTAGCGTCACCTAGTGTATGCAGTTATCGAATAATATTATACATATTAATTTACTTTAAAAAATATTATTCACAGTGCGTCGTGAGCGTGGGTCCATTTCCGTTTCCCGGCCTGGTCGCGTTGCGCCAAAAACATCGCGCCCTGATCCAGCAGGACGCGCCCTACAAGTCATTCTTCCTCGCAAAACGTGAACTCGACAATTTGAAAAAGCACTACGCCGCAATTCGCCATCGACAAAAGGCGACCACCATCATCCTCAAGGTTGGCTCAAAATACGGCAAACTAAACTTTGCAAATCTCGCAAAATTAGAAAAAAATTGCAAATATCGTTTTTTATGCGCGATTTCGTAAATTTTTGTATTTGTTGAAATTTCGACGCAAATATCTAACCCAATTTCCTCCTAATTTGCATTTTATACCCTTATTAGCTCACCCTGCGTAGCATGAGAGCTATTGAATTCCTCCTGTCCGTCTGTCTGTCTGTCCGTCTGTCTGTCCGTCCGTGTGTTCACGAGTTTTTTGCACCAATTGATGCTAATTAATAAGAAATTTTTTCGCAGGGTTTGGAAACCACTCGGATAAAAGTTCCTGGCCAGAGGTCCAACTCGCTCTTCATCCCGACCACGAAGAAGACCACGGTTTCACCCCGACCTAAATTTCGACGGGGGTCGAGCGGTGCGTCGAACGCGGGGAATGCGACCACGACCGCGACGACACCACAACAAGGCGCAAAGGGAGCCCTCACACCGAGCAACAATAACAAGACCAACACTCGCGCCACACAGCACAACGTGATCAACAACAATAATCGACAAGGCGTCATGACCGTGACGAATCGAAATAACGTTACGAACAGTAATGTCAATCGGCATCATGGAAAAATGGCACAGGTAAAAATTTTTCAAACTTAGCAAAATTATTTTACACAAAAATCAAGAAACAACTGCGAGCAGTTCTCAAAATAAATAATTTGAAAACTGCATGGATATGCAGAATTTAGTTTATAAATACATCATTTTTAAAAAATTACGAAATACTTATTTACACAAAATTTATAACGTAAAGTTCACAGATTGTGGAGTAGTCTTACTGAAGCTCTTCGAATCTATTCAATTAGAATTTGAAAAAATCTTGTAATTATAAAAACATATTTTTAACTCGCAAAATAAACTTGACAGCCTCGTAATTAAACAATTACATTTTAGGTAGAAAATTTACGACTTTTAAAAATCATTCACTTAATGCCTGATAAACCGACGTGGTTATCCACTAATAGATGCAATTTTGAACACGGGAATAAAAACAAACAATATACAGTCGAATTAAAATGTAGTTCATGCAAAATAAAATTTCTTAAATAAGACGAATCATACACATTCTGTCAAAATTTTTCAACTTCCAATAATTTTCATTAATCTCAAATTTCAGGTTACCCAAACCTGGGACAAGACTTCGTCTTCTTCATTGGCATCAAAAGCAGGGAAAACGTTCCGTCGTCGCCGGACGCTTTCCTCCTCCTCCGTCGCCACGAGTTCTTCCTCCTCCACGGAATTATGCGACTCCTCCGACGACGAGAAAAGTGACCGCGGCGAGAAAACAGCATCCTCGTCGTCCTCCTCCTCCGAAGGCGTCTGGTCCGACTCGGACAACAAATGGGTCAAGAAGAAAATCAAGGTCAAAAAAGGTCACAAGTCACAACATCAACTTTCCCTCGAAAAGTGGGAACGCCTCGGACCCATGACCCCACTTCTGGGTCAAGGAGGTCAGGATTCCTCTAAGGAAAACGAAACGCCCCCTGAAAGCGATGCGTTGGCGACGAAATCGCCAAAAAACGAGGAAAACTTTTCAATTTTCGAAATGGGCGATCTTCCCAGTCCAAGTTCCCCACAGAGCGACCCCGGCGCCACGAACGGTGACAATGGCCCCATCTTATCAAGATCATCGTCAATCATCGACACGAACGATTCACAACATTTTCTCGAAGAAATGTCGAAATTGGGGAAAAGTGATAAATTCTATGAAAATCTATCTAAACGAATTTGTGAATTGCAATTTCAAAATTTGAAAACTTTGAGCACCTGCAACACCGTAATTGACCCAAAGTCTTTAGCCCTCCCGCCATTTCCTAGGTCGCCCCTGGCCTCCCCGATTAGCCATTTCCCACCCACCGCGGGAGGTATCGAAAACTTCAATTTGCTCAAGATTTCCCCACGTGGATCGACATCCGGGGGCGATTGTTCCCCCGTGGCCACACCGGGTTGGAAAACTCCCAGTTCGCCAAACCCGCCACCTATCACGATTTCGAGGAAAACGTCGAAATCTTCCATGTCAAGCGTGGACAATCCCCTGAGCAGTCTCGACATTCCAGACATCTGCGTCGTCGGAGAAGTCACGGAGACAAAAGTCAAGAGAAGTTCGAGGCATCGTAGCAGCCATTCACAATCCTGTCCAGGGTCAGTTTCACCGACAGATCTGGGTTTGAACTTCCCGCCAACGCCGGTCCCATCCCCGCCCGTACTTCTAGCACCGCTCGAGTTTCCAGAATCCGCATCAATCGCGGAAGGTACGTCACTTTTAAGCCCGCAAGTCACAGAACCATCGTCCCCACAGAAGAACACTTCGTCCACGGAAAATAGCCTAATTTCACCAAAATCCCCGAATCTTGGGAGTAAAAGAAAACTATTTTTGCGGTCGGCATCCCCAGTTCCGCTGGACGAAGATTTTCTCTGCGTCGATTCGGCCGCAGATTCGGCCGCATTTCTTTTCCCGTCGAGTGACGATCCCACCGCGGCGGAAGAATCGACGAGTCCCGCATTTCCGGTCGCACTTTGTCCCACCCAATTCACGTCGGATGGACAGGAAGAGTCGCTGACCTCGAGTGACCTTCCGAGCGAGGAGGAAATCAAGATTAATGCCGTCATCAGGGAAAACATCGCCATCTTGCAGCGCCTCAAGCTAAAATCTGGGGCGTATTTGGATGGCTACGACGACGAAGAGGAGGAGGACGATGATAGCTACGAGGAAATTGAGGACGACGAGAGTGGGAGTGGCGGAAGGAGGTCGGGTTCATTGGGGTCCGAGGATAGAGATTCCGGTGAGCGTGGGGCGTCTTTATGGCTAATTATTTAAACCCGCTGATTACTGATCGATTATTGACTTGTAGTAATTGACTGAGGTTTTCATAAGATGATTTTCGATTTTTTAGGAGTTGTCCCCACGTCCTCGAAGACGTTCCTGGTGAAAGATCGACTTTCTTCCGTTTCGTCGAACGGATCGAGTCGGAGCGGGTCTCGGAGTGGGAAGCGGCGGTGCAACGGGTGTGGCGGGCGACGGCTTTCTCGCGGAAACAGCATTGGCTCCACGTGCAGTGCCGCGCCCAAAAGCGGTGGGTGCGGCACAACGGCTGGGTTCGGGTTTAACCCCTTCCCAACGGTTAGAAAGGCACGATTGAGAGTTACCAAATATGGACTTTACAACTAAACGACCTAATTCGCTTCGCCAACTTTGTAGCTTTGTAAACTTCGCAAAATTCGTATAAATTTCACAAGGTTTATAACTGTATCACATACTTAAAAATATGCAAACATGCTTTGTAACTGTGTAAAATTCAAGTTATTGTAAACGCATAGGCTTCACAAAATTTGATAAAATGTTCGTAATTCTGATAGCTTCTATTAAGCAAATTTGACATGGAAGGAAGTTGAAATATGCCAAGCTTACGAAATTTATACGCGTGACTAATTTAAGGATAATCAGTACTTATTTACCCAATGAATCACATTTGTAAATATGATGAGATTTGGAACCGCAAAGATTTCCGTTAAAATAAAATACAAAATCAACAATTTGTTGGTTTAGCTGAAATTTTATCAGTATTTAACGAAACTTTTAATGTCGTAAATTCCAGGAATTTTTGGATTGGAATGATTTACACGTCGTTTTCAGATATTTAATTTGCCAAGAGTTAGTACAAGTTAAGTGAGTTAATGCTTGATTTGGGACTGAAAGATTACAAAATTTCCCAACCCAATTTAAAAGTATTTCAAAACTTCAGAAATTATAATTTATTCGGTGGGATGATCTACCTCAGCGGTAGACGTAGAGCTTCGTTGACCATTTGCTACCACTTCATTTTGAGAGTGAGTAGATTTAAGATTTAAATTAAATCATTTAATACCATAAAAATGATTCCATAGTTGGCGATAAACCGCAAGTGAGACTAATTAAGTAGACAATTATGTAATACTATCAACTAATTACAAATGATAATGCCGAAATGAGGTACTAATTGCACAAAAATTATAAGTAGAGTAGAAAAATCAATTCTGTAATGACTCTACCGAGTTTTCTACCATTCGGTAGTAAAAGCTGTAAATATTGGTCAGGATGACATTAATTAGTGCTAAATGATTGATAACTGAAACAATATGACTGACTTAAAATTAATATTTCTAATTTCGTATGTCTGAACAAACCAGAAATTACGTCGTAATTAAGGGATTGCACATAAAAGATGTGATCTAAGCGTTTATCATTCGGGTCACCGCAAGGTCACTGAAAGATTGTGGATCAAATTTCACCCAAGATTGATCACATCCTTTATGTAAAGTTCCTTTTTAAATTCTGTTGTTAATTGGCCTCACAGTGAGGCCCTCACTGTTAGTTAATTAAAATGAAAACAAATGCACAATGTACGTATGTAGTAATGTAACGACCTGAAGTCCTGCCATTTACAGATAAGAAACCCTAACTGTTAAATAATCATATATGCAACTATCATGAAACTAGTTGAGACTAAAATTTAAATTAAACCGTGAAATTCTTGTTGTGAAAATTCGTAAAAACTATAAAATTGAACTTAAATTCTAAAATACTGAAATAGAAAATATAAATAGAAATATGTGGTGAAATAAACGATATCTGAGCTAGATGGGAAATTTGACGGCTAATTTATTGAAATTGTTGCCATCATTCACAACGAATTTGCGAAATTTAAAAATACTCTCTGCATTGCATCAATCGTATCACCGAAGAGATCAGAATGCTATTATCATTCAGAACAAAATTTTCTAAAAACTAAATTACATAAAACCATGTGAAGAAGATAAAACCTATGCAATGGACTTTAAATACTATGAATATTGGTTTTGGATTGACATGTAAAGTGTAACATTCGGAAATATTTCATTTTAAATAGTTCTCGTCATTTTAATTTTTTGTACAAGTTTGGTCGTAGTTTTCTGTGAAATATTTATTAATATGCAATTTTAAATCTTATACTTTTATACGAAAACGATTTATTCATATTCGTAAGTTTTATAAGGATTAAAAAATCAGTTTGGTCACTTTTTGAAGTGATATTTATTCGATTTGAAGAGTAACGTTACAAAAAATTACAAAATTACAAAATATTCGTGAAATCAGTAGGATTAAGAAAAATGCACAGGTATAATTAAAGTACAATCCAAAATTCATAACTCCATAGCTCTGGCAAGTACGTACACATATAGATATTCAAGCTGCTTGTGTAATTTGCGTAAAACTTTTTTACAAACTGCTACAAAATTAAGAGATACAGAATAACGTGTTGAATTCTTGTTAGACAAAAATCTGCCTTGTAACAATTTATACTAACACCGTTAGCCGTAAGAGTGATTAAAGCTTTAAAATTGAAGGTAATCGAAGGTAAATTTAAGGTAATAAAATTGCCCACATTACGGCATCTCTTAATCTTATACCAATTTGAAAAACAATTTTATAAAATTACATAGAAGGTTTGCTTTACCATTCCATACATTAGTGCAAAATAGTTGATTGTTTTACAAGTGACAATAATAAGCGTATATGTCTCGAAAGGTGTAAAAAATTAATAATTGCATCCATTTTTTAACCCGTTCTACATACAAAAACAAAATTTCAGCGTCTAAATACATTATAACATTTATTAGGTATGAATGAATGATGGGCAGTTATCAAATTACTATTAGTGTTATTATTACAGCTTCTGGTTACGGCGATCCCTTAATTTTAACAGCTGTCGGACGTCTACTTCTTCTGAAATCCGAATCCGAACCGTGGTAAAGCGGAAGTCATCGCTTTTTTGGGACGATTCTCCTTACTTCCAGCTCCTCCCACTGCAGAGATCGAATTAGCGGGTAAATTCTGGTATAAAAAAGAATTAAGAATTATTTTCATATTTACTTAATTCAATTCATACTTTGTGTACTTCAAAGTTTACAAATCTTTGAATTCTATCGTTGAAGTAATCCACCCAGATGTTTGTAACTTTACGAAAGCTGTACTCGACTATTTTAGAAAACTTTACAAAATCAAGAGACGTCGATTTGACCTGGATAAGTTATAAATGTGCGACCTAATTTTCCTTTATTTTTCAAACGTGTGGAAACTTTTACGACGTTAACTTTGTTACAAACAACCTCGAGAATTGCCTCAGTGCAAAATTTTGTTACGTACATTGGTCGCAGGAACCTTTTTAGCTTGATTCTCAGAACCACTCGCACTCTTTGTGGCTGTGGACGGATTTCCTTTCGAAGGTAGGACTTGACCCTTAATTCCCATAATATGTCTCCCGTACCCACTCGAGGTTACTTTCGTGGTCACAGGTAAAGCACTCCTAGGACTCGGCGGGATCAGTCGCGACGACGACGACGAGGATGATGCTACAGATTCCGGGCGACGGATCGGACTCTCCTGTGGACCCTGGATAATTCATATTTGTGGATTTATGTATATTGTTTGTCAAAAATAATTATAGTCAGTTTATAGAAATATTACACTTGCACAGTCATAAATAGTTCCTCACTTAAACTCCAAACTTAATGCAAATTTGTAGTAAAAACTCACCCTGCCACCTCCGCCAGTCATACTACAGTTCAGACCAGCCGCACCATACCCGCTACTCTTCACACCAACGTAGCTCCTCCTTCCCGGCGTAACAACTTGGCCACTCCTCGCCTTCGGCAACGGACTCGACTGCGCCACCGGTGGGATAAACTTTCTCGACACGGGAGCACTAGACCAACCACCCGGAGTCTGCCTTCCCTCCGATGCTACTGTTGGTGAATTTTTATCTCCCTCCGCAATCGACGAGAGTCCTTTAACAGACGCGACAACTTTTAATGGTCCTGCGCGCTGTAATTGAGTCGTTCCTTTCACAGCAGAAGTGGGTTTTGTCTTCGAGGCGAAAATATGGTCATGTCTCACCGACTTTGTAGGACTTGTGCTGGACTCTGTGGAAAAAAATAAATCAATTACAAATCAATTGCTCCTATAGACGATAGGCAAACGTTTTCCCTCAAAACAACAATATCAAAATTTAAACCAAAATTTCCAACACAATTACAAACATTCCCTAAACCCCGGTCCCTCTTCTGCAATATCGTACCAGAAGTCGTCGAGCCGAAAGAAAGGCGTTTCCCGGGCGAACTGTTGAAGACGTCGTCATCGTCGACCGATAACACTTTGCGTCCCTGGGAAAGTCCCAAGTAGCGCCGGCAAGTTGACCCAGGGGACGACATTCGATGTATAGACGGGGCCTCCACCACATCCTTGATCGAACGGGCTGGCGAAGTATTCGTCGCCACGGACGAGCGAGGCGTCCAACTACTGTGAATAGAAGTGTTATTAATTTGGATAATTTTACGAAATAAGTTGACACAAATTTATAAACAGGAAATTATCTCTCAAACAAAAAGCACGATTTGTTTACTGAAAAGATTGAGGTCTCCTCTGCGACACAGGCGTGGTCATCGGGGTCGGAATGTACTTTGCATTCCCATTTCCACTCGGGCTCGGGGAATTTGCAATCGGACTACTTATCAGCATCGATAACCGCTGTAGCTTCGAGTTCACGCTGTCCCTTCGTTTCTTCTCTCGTAGGACAGATGCTTCTTCCACCTCCTGCGGTCCTGGCTCCTTCTTATCAATCACGTAGTTATCACAATTCTGCTCAGATTTGCTTCTCATCTCCTCTTCAACGGATTCTTCGTCTCTTGGAGGTGTAGCGTCGTCGTTGACGCGAAGATTTTCACGTAACTGTTCCAAAAGTCTGTCCGAGTCAGCAGAGCAGGAAAAACCGGATAGGTTGTCAATGTCGAGGAGACTGTCTGAAAAAGGACAATTTTCAAATATGATTTCCATCATCAAAACTACAGCAAAGTTTATGTTAGAATTTTAGTTCCCATTCTATTCTACTCACCCGAATCAGAAAAATTTGCCCCTTTTCCCCCCGTAAAACTATGTCGTTCGATATTATCCGGAACTTCAGGGAGTCGAACAGGAAGGGAAATCGGGCCCTCATTAACAACGAGTAACTCCGCGGTGGGTGGATTCACAACGTCACCTCCTCCTCCACTCGTCTTTTCCTGTCCAGTAAAAATAGGCGAAAACGGATCCCTCGCCTCCGCAATGAGGTCACGTCGTAGTCCCAAAGGCGTCGAAACTCCGACTCCCTTCTTGGATTTCTTCCTTCCCATCCCGAAACCCAGTCCGAAAGGTGACGCGGTCGAATTGAGGCTACAATCTTGCAATAGTGCAGGGGGCGGGATGAGTGGGGGTGGTTGACCTGATCCAAAGAGGCCAAAGGTGTCGTCATATTCCGCCTTAGAGGTAATCTCTGCTGGCAATACCTTCGTCGCCACAGAACACTCACTCAGATTAAAGTCGATTAGTAGGTCGGTCGTGCAATTAATTGGGTTGGTAATGGTAGGTGTGGTCCCTGCAAAGTACGAAGTTAATTTAATATTACGAAAATATTAAAATTGTTCGACTTTTTGTAAATAATTTGAAAAAGCGAATAAACTAAAATTTACCCTCTTCTTCTTCTTGCACATTTTGTATAACAGTGTCCCCGCCCGTCGCCATACTTTAATTGATTACAATTAGCTAATATACTTCCTCCCCAGCTTTCTTTACCGTACACTTGTCAATTCACACTTTCAAAGTAATTTCAAATTGAATTGCAAACAACTTTTAGTTTAACTTCTTATTATTATCAAATTATTGAAATTATTATTTTACAATGAGCAAATTATCTATTGAAGTTTAATAAGTAAATTACAAATTAAGTTATAAAAACAAATTTGGAAACAACCAAATTTCAAAAATATCTCATTTTTAAATTTTTAAAAACATGCAGTGTGCAGTCGTTTATTGGGAAAGTGAAGTAAAGTTGTAACGGATTCTCTGCTTTCGTGCCAACTGGATTACAAAATCTGCCGGTAGTGACAATGCCCCATGAAACTTTATTTGGTGATGAATGCAATGAATTAAATTTGCATCACTTATGTAAATTGCATTCCCGAAACATGAATTAAAATTTAGTTAATTTAGTTACTAAATTGGAATAATTTGAATAAAATAATGTGTTCTGTTAAGTTGGTTAATTATTAATTTCAACGATTCAGAAATTCAGAATCAATGTATGCATGCAATGTCGGCAAGTTTTTTAATGTAATAAAAAAATATTTCCGAACTTTTAAGATTTTATTGCACACTTTTTTCCTACTTAAAATTTAGAGCAAAATAATACAATCGATTGAGTCCCTTAGAATTAGCATAAATTTCAATTTAGAACCACACACTGATGTCACCGGCCGTTCCTACAACTCGATGTTGTCCATATGCTCGCCACCCCCTCGGGCATCATCTTCCATGCCGACCATGTTGATCCCGACGGTCGGCCAGGCCGTCTTGGTCAACTCAGCGCTCACTTCCCACAACTTGTCCGCGTCGCCCAGGTTTGCTGCCCTTTTCGGAACTTTAGCCTTTCCCACCTGAAAACGTCGTCAAAATTATTTCATCTCTTCTCCCAGAAATAAATTATGAATACTAAACAAATCGCATCCAGTTCATATGAATAACTTTTAGAACTTCAAAATCGTATAATTTTTCTTGAAAAATAAGTCGGAATGCTGGCACATCAAAGTTATTTCCTCAAAATTTGCCAATTTTACTTTAAGCTATGTACCTTCCCCTTGAGTTCACTGCACCCTTTCGGACCATAATACCCTCCAGGTAAGGCGTCATCACTCGTTGCGGCGAAAAGGATTGGCAAGGCGCCTCGACTTGCACTCTGTCCGCAGACACAGGAGCAACATCCCATCCGGAAACAGCAAGATTCACCCGGACCGTTCTTCATCAAATCGGTTTTTGCAAATCCGGGATGCGCAGCGAGGGACATGAGGCCCCAACCTGTCAAAATAGAATTGCATAATGAAGTTAAATATAAGTTCAGAACAAAAGTGGCAGACTTGCAAAATTAAACCCCACCTCTCGAATCACTCTTTCTTTGCAGTTCGAAAGCGAAGAGCAAATTCGCCAATTTTGACTGAGCGTAGGCCCTGTAAGCTTTATAAGCCTTCTTCTTCTCCGCCATGAGATCGTCAAATTGAATTTTCCCACTGCGCGCGACCCTGCTCGAGACCGTGACGACGCGCGAGATCCCAGTCGTGGAGACAAGATATTGGAGGAGGCGACATGTGAGGGCATAGTGACCGAGATGGTTCGTCCCAAACTGTAGCTCGATACCGTCCGTTGTCAACTTCCGGTCTGGAATGGCCATCACGCCTGCATTGTTAACCAGAATGTCCAATTTGTCGAATTGGTCCCCGAAATCTGCAACAGAAAATGGATTACATAATTTTACGCATAACTTACAAATATCTTAATGCCAAATTAATTAATATTTATTTAGTAGTCAGTTTTGCATAATGAATTAATATTTGATCCCCAATACTTTAATTCGCAAATTTAATCCGAAAATAGATGACATTGAGCAATTTTATTGAAATTTTGTACTATTTTGCTCAAAAATACCTTGTGCGAAATCCTCGATGCTTTCCAAACTGGTCAAATCCAACGGAATGTACGTGACGAGCGATTCCGAGTTGTCATCTTTGATCTTATCAATGGCGACAAGCGCTTTGGCCTCATTCCTCGACGCAAGGATGACACGAGCGCCAGCACCAGCAAGCGCAGCTGCCACCTCAAACCCGATACCGGACGTTGCCCCCGTGACCACTGCGATCTTCCCGGCAAGCGATGGTATGTCCTTCAGCGTCCATTTTGAAGGCATTTTCTTGGTGGGTGTAAGGTAAATTAGTGCGAAATATTGCGAACTTTAAAAATTTTGAATTTTCCGTTGTCTGCGAATTTGGGAATTACATGGAAATTTTGTAATAAGTTGCATTTCTTGACAACAAGCTAGCTTTAAAAAATATAATTCTTATTCTTTTTAACCTCATTTAAAATTATATAATTAACATAAACTACTTACATATGATATACAATTTTATGACAGAAATATGTATATCTTCACAAATTTTTATTTTTCTTTCCGTCGTCGGGCTCCAAATCTCGGATATTTTTTAGCTTTGCGTCAATTTGGGCGTCAACTTGTTCCTCTGGGTAGTAGCGACGCTTCATGGTTCGGTATTTTTTCAAAAAGTAGAGAGCCTCCATCTCAGCGACGACAAAGTGGCCATGGCGTAAAAGTGTAGCGACTTTTGTGGCGTCGCGTTCCTCCCGATTTTTTGCAAATGCGCGATGACATCGATCCCGGAAGTAGGGGTAGCCCAGTGGGTAGTCCCGACCCATGTAGAGCAGCTGCGAGAGAGAAGCAAACAAATTACAATAAATTTTCAAATTCAAAAAAATAAAACCGAGAAATTGATCGCCTCGATTTAAATTTTCTCATACGTAACTTTATTGCAAGTATAAGTGCCCATAGTGCTTCGCAAAATTATATTAACACGCTTTACCCAATCTGAGATGAACTTACCGTTTTATACAATCTGATAACCTCGGATCGATGAATATTTGTCATCGTATGGGGCAAGCGACTTGTGTATTTATTTTGTACGTATTTCTGTAAAAAATAAAATTAAAATATTGCTCATTATGCCAGTTAATCAGACCCGTTTTGTTTATCTTATGTACAACAAAAATGATAAGTTCTTTCTTACCCACAAAATTTAATTCAACAACTTATATGATATCATCTTGTTTTAATCATGATCAAAGTCCAGCAGATTGTTTGGCTCCTCGGCTGACCCAATGTTTACCGGAATTCGAGTTTTACAGGAGGCAAACTGAGAACTTTATATTTATCAATCTCAAGTTTCTCAAGTTCTGATGGTCTATTCTTGCAAATATTGTAGACTTACATGAATAATGAATTCATGTCGACTTCTACTATAATTTATTCACAATACAAAATCCAGTCTTATATTTATAGCTTTATAATTTTGTGTGCTCAAGTGGTTGCGGAATCTCACACAAATAACGTCAATTGTGTGTCATCATTCAGATTAATATGTAATTACCAGTGTATATGTGCCCGTAATCGACGCTCAACAAAGGCCAATCGCCCCATGGAACAAGATGGTATGTATTATGGAATCAGAATATATTGGTATCAGATTGAATATTTTGTCTGATTTAATGAGGAATTTTAGCAAAATTGTTTGGCCATGTGCCCTTTCCCACGATATTCCAATCGAAAAACTGACCTCTGAAATCAGCGACCAAAAACTATAAGAATCGACATTTACCCAACGCTAACGCCTTCGAAATAATTGTATTATTTAATTAATAATTTTATTCGTAACAATTGTGAGATAAGCCGCTATAACATATGTAGGTGTACCTGTATGGTTATAACCACATAGTTGAATAACAAACCATTAGTAAATTTGGATAAATAAATTTTAAAAAACAAACTTAGGTGAAGGACGCGCTTAAAATATTAAAACAAGAAGCATTACAAAATGTCATAAATCGTTTAATATTTACTAACTTTTACTTCACCGGGGGCCCAACTAACACAAGAAAAAAGGTATACTTTCAAGGATTTGGAACAATTATACGAAATGCGTAATATGTATTTGTATATTAAACTTGCAAGATTTGAATGATTATCTTTCAATAAATCGCGACACCTCTTATAGAGGAAATTTGCTCATGTTCTGGCGTATTTTTAATAACTTCTGTAATGCTGCCCTTCATATTTAATCAAGTCGTTGGTTTAGCTACATTTATTATTGATTATCATTGCTTTGAAAATTTAACAGTTGGGCTCCCGGTGAAGTAAAAGTTAATAAATATTAAGCGATTTATGACATTTTTTAATGCTTCTTGTTTTAATATTTTAAGCGCGTCCTTCACCTAAGTTTGTTTTTTAAAATTTATTTATTTAATTATTTTTGGTGATTTGTGAACTTATATGTATAAAATCATATGCAATTATAAAATCTTAAACGTTGTTAATTCTCCTGTTTGTGGACGCTTGGCATACCAATTTAATTCCGCAGTGGGTGTGGATGCGTGGCATGCCAATTTAATCCCCCAGTTTCAAAATTTTAAGGATTGTTCTGTTCTGTCAAGGATGCCTTGACACTTAGCGATCTAATAATAACGTAATTCGATTGTCTAGCAACATTGGATATGTTGAGTATTGAATAGCGATGCTGAATAAACTATCACCGCACGTTAGCAACCAGTAACTTAACACGTAAATAGGTTGCCTAATGCAAATATTTCAAAAAGCTCTAATTCCGTCAGTTTTGATCCGATTAAGTCGAACAAAGGCTTACAATTTGCGTATTATCCTGGAGAATAATAAAAATGGCAAGCCCCCGGTCGGAAACACTTCCTTGATGCCAAGAAATGGATTTGAAATTTTAGGCATCGGACTTTCTACCTGAAGGAATTAGAATTTTTGAAAAAATAAAAAAAACGTATCTGTAAAACAGAATTCTTTGGTTTTTTTGTTTCAGCATGTTTTCCATGCAACGAACGGTTTGGGCGAAATCTCAGTGCGACCTTTTCAAAGTTGCAGCTGATTGCATACCTAGGCTTCGCCGTAACCATGGTGATCTTTTAACATGATCACCTTATGGTTACTTTTCCTTCACCTAAGAAAAATAAAACCTACTCCAAGCAACTTTGTCGGGCCTTTTAAGATGGCATTAATACCATCTTGGTGGTTAATGGCAACACATTTGGGTGGAAATGACCCCCACCGGCCACCCAATTGGCCAATCATGCCCATCTCCGAACTCATCCTTACTTTTGACCCGAAGATGAAGTGTGCAAAATTTCAAGTCGATAGCATGTGTTTAAAGAGCGTTATCGTGCGCACAGACGGACGGACAGACAGACATCTTAGTAAATCTATAAGGCCATCTTAAAAGGCCTAAAAACATTATCATTCATAAAAAGTACTAAAAAACAAACGCATTTTTAGTTTTACTTTTTAATTTTTCAATGGAATAATTGGGGTTGGAAAGATCAGCTTGACAAGGGGATTCTTACTCTCTATCAAAGATGTTGTAAGCATCTTATCCATGCACATGATCCAAGCATAAATTAAGTTATCCACAGTTTTGAGGTACACCGTAAGCTGCTCTTGTTCCTCTGTAAACTTTTCAACATAGTGATACACCTCGTCTTCACTTACACCGGGGAGTACTTTGATTGGGATTGAGACTTTAAGAGCAAAGGCTTTGTCCTTGCAAAAGTAAGACGGGAGGGGTTTGATCATTGTAGAAGTAATGACATCATAATTTCCATAATCCAGAAAAACGACTTTATACGCGTCTTTGTCTGGACAAGCCTCCAAAATTTTAGCTCTATAGTAGCGTAAATCATCTTCAATATTTTGCCTGGCCGCGACGTAAGTTCCATTGATCAAAGATGAAGGATCCAGTTGAGGGACATTTTTCCAATTATTCAAAAATTGTGTCAGTTCTTCACTTAGTCCATCCGCTCGATGGTCGTCACCTTCTAGCTGAATGCAAATCGAGTCATAATTTTCTATGAAAGACACAACTCCTTCATATTGAACTCCCGACATGTATGCTGAGGGGCCACTAAATAATTCCTTTGCAAGACCCTGGTCGATCATGGGAAATTCGTGGTCAACGTTTGTATAATACTTGCAGAGGTTTGGCTTTCTTAGGCCAAAATCATCAAGAAGTGGTATCCCTTCTTCTGAGGCGAGGGTCACTACACACCTGATAGAGGGGGAGAGACGAGTGTAAAGGTTAAAACTCAGTTTAAATAATTAGAAATCTCTACTTTATTATCTTACTTTCGAATTTCTCGGGGATCCACGTCATAAATGAAATTTGCATGGCTAATGTAACATTCCAGATTTTTTTCAATAATCAACTCCATCAATTTTCCCTTGGTGGTTTCATCTGAAGGACGTTTGCTCGGGTCCGCTGCCAATAGTTCAACTAAGTAGCAGGGTGTGGCTGCTTCAGGAATCTCAACGAGTTCTTTCGAAATCTTGAGCATCTAAAACATAATTCATTACGATATTGACGATTTAATGCGACATGAACTGTACAATTAAAACTTACGTCTTTTTCCTGAACATTGACAAAGTCTCCGTAGTCTACCAGTTTTACCAAGTACCCAACCCTTGACTTTTGAAAAATTGTAGCTCGATAATTCATTTTATCCTCGCCATACGCAACAAGAACAGCATCACCAATATCCTTTGAAAAGTCCTTGGCCTTTAAGAACAGTACACATTATTAATAGCACAAATAATCGAGTGATAAGAAGGTACGAATAGAGTAACTTTGTTTGTATAGTGTAAGTTAAGTGTAGTCTTGACTTCGTACTACGAAGTGAAGACTACGAAGTGACTGGGGAGTAATATTTACTTACGTCTTTGGAAGTAGAGTCCTACTTCAACAATCCAGCATCAACAGCCTCCATTATAGTCGGATGAAGTTGAAGATGCACTTTGAAATTCGATCCCACTTTTGAAACCTTCGTCCCAAAGACTCCGATTTTCTGTCCAATCCAATCACTGTAATCATATCGAGGATACTTTCCAAGCATTTGTGGCCCTAAATTATGTAAAAAAAAAATAAATTACAATATTTCATTCCCCGTCTGCGCGCCAACCGAGGAGGATTTGCTCTTGCACGAGCTCTCCTAAATTTATTTATATTATATTAATTTTAACTAAATTTAATTGGTAATAACATTAATTTTAATTGGCAATGTGCGAAAATCGTTCTTTATCAAGCTGGTCAACTATTCCAGTCAAAATTTGTTTATTAATTCTTTATTTTAATGTGTTTTTTTACAATCTGAATTACCACGCGGCCTATGTCCCTCACTCCTCGGTTGGTTGGGGAATCAAAAATTGGTTTGTATTTCAAAATTTAGTTGGTTTTTTGTGCATTTTTCCAACACAATTTATAATTTAAGTAAGTTATTAATTAAAATTTGTCAATTGGTTAAATATTGGATTATCTTATATGTATCTAAATTTTACAATTCAATCTTTATTCAAGTGACTGCGATAAAAATATGTAGGTACACATTGTTTCCATTACCATGTCACAGAGGTCATAATGGGAAATTCTATTCTAGTCAATATCCTAATTCTATACTCGATTACTTTATATATTAAACAACTTCAACTCTCGCTATACTCGTGCTTTAATTTTATATTCTCTTAACTTAGGGTAAAATTGTGAAAACAGCTCACTATCTTTCATTTCATATGGTAAAGCATTCCACATTTTAATTGATTGGTACATAAATGACATTTGACCAAACTTAGTTTTCGCTTTAGGTAGTACAAAATCGTTCTTTGACCTTAAATTTTTATTGTGGTCCGATCGGGTGTATTCTGGAAAACATTTGAACAATGGAGATTTTAAAATAATATGTTTAAATATAAATTCTAGCGTATACACTTCGTACCTCTCTTTACATGATAGCCAGTTTAGTTTTTCGAATGCGTCATACATTAAAATCTTTTTATCCTTCAAGATCACTAATCTTGCAACTCTAAGTAAAATTTTATCAATTCTGTTACATACAGTTTCGAACATATTTCCATATACAGGCAAGCAATAGTCCAATTTACTACATATTATGGAAGTGCAAAAGATTTTCAACCAGTTACTACTAAAGTAGTTCTTATACTTATTTATCATATACATACGTGCACTCATTTCAGAACAGACTTTAGTGATATGCAAATGAAAGTTTAAACTTCTGTCTAAAATTACTCCAAGATATTTGAAGGAGGTGACACATTCAATTGTTTGCATGCCTACTTTCACTTTCACCTCTCCTTCTATTCTCAGGTTTGCAGGGGAGAAAGTCATACTTTGTGTTTTCTTAATGTTTATTTCCATCCCATTTTGATGGCACCAATCCTGTAGATTCTGGAGGTCTCTTTGCAATTTATCGTTGATCTCATTTATCGTCTTTCCTGTGGCAATCAGAACGAGATCGTCTGCATATTGATAAATGCTGCATTCTTTGATACAGCATGGGATGTCGTAGACATAAATGTCGAAGATAAGTCCAGAGAGGCTGCTACCTTGGCTAGTCCCTCGAAGGAGCTTGTGAACTGCAGACTTCATCTTTCCTCTTCTCACCAACATGGTTCGATTAGTGAAATAAGCTGCAAACCATTTGTTTAGTTCTCCGGTGATTCCTAATGATTCCATCTTTTGTAAGAGACGACTATGAATAATGTTGTCAAAAGCTGAAGAGAAATCAACAAAAATTGCTCCTGAAATTTCACGCGCGTCTCCAGTGTTCCGGATCTCGTTGGTCAATTTAAGGATAGCACTCTGTGTGGATCGGTATGGTCGATATCCGTGTTGTTGATGGTTTAATTTGTCCTCTTTCTCCATAAATGGCATAATTCTATGATATATGCAAGACTCGAACAGTTTTGTTGTTGTGCAAAGAATTGAGATTGGCCGATAACATTTAGGATCACATCTTTTTCCTTTTCCTTTGTAGAGTGGAAATACGGCGGCTTGCTTCAGTTCTTCAGGATATTCTCCAGTGGATAAAAATTCATTAAACAAAAGCGTGAGGATAGGGACCAGTGAGTCTGCACAAATTTTGTAAAAAATTGGTGGGATCCCATCGATTCCAGTTGGTTTATTGGTGTCAAGTTCTTGAATAGCTTTCTGTATATCTTCTGGTCAGTATGATATGACACATCGTGCTCAATGGTTTTTCGAATTTGAACGGATGAGTAGCAAAAGGTTCAGGTCTTATGAAAGCTTGACATAAAATGTTCAGCTTTTCTTTTTCATCACATATTTCTTGCCCATTTACAAATAGATTTGGGAGTGTAGAATCTCTTTTGGTTCGTCCAACTTCTTCATTAAACAGTTTCCAGCAAGTCTTACTTTGGTTATCAGATTCTGCTACAAATGATTTAATTACATTTGCTTTGAGTCTGCACTTGATATTGTTGGTTTTATTTCTGCATTTTCTAAAATAAGCCCAATCGTTTTCACTTCCAGTTTTTACTGCATTTTTCTTCAGCTTTTTGCACAAGTTGTGAATTTGCTCATATTCTGCATTGAGCCACTTCTTCCGAAAATGTTTCACTCTGATGTTTTTTAAAGGCGCATATATATTTAATGCACTAGTAACAAACATTTTGAAAATGTTGTACTTATCACCACTTGTTTTGCAATATTCAAAAATCCACCAGGGGGACTGCATTATTCTTTTATTTAATTTCTCTTGGTCAATGTCCTTGAATGATCGTATTTCGATTGACTTTAACGGGCACTTTGCAGTTTTATCTTTCTTTCGTATTGCATAGATTAAGTCATGATCAGAAATACACTCAGTTATCACTCCAGATTTTATGTTTAATCGTGGTCGATTTGTGAAAATTAAATCGATTAGAGTTTTTGTTTGTGCAGTTTTGCGAGGAGCTTGCTTAATTATTTGATAAAAGCCTATTTGTTTCATCATTTCTAATAATTCACGCGCCTGATTGTTCGGGTTAAGTTGGTCGTAATTGAGGTCACCAATAACGTAGGTTTCATTATCTTTGTTTGCGAGGAGTTCATTTTGCAAAGACGTAATGAAGTGTTTCTTTGCAGTAGACACACGGTAAATTAGATAAAAATATATAGTTGGAAAGGAATGCTTTCTTAAACTGATTTTGATTGATTCAATAGGGGATGAGAATGGGGACTCATGACATAGAACTTCATACTCTTCTGCTACGTAGATTAGCAGTCCTCCTCCTCTTTTTCGGTAGGTCTTGATCTCAGGTCTATCTTGTCGGAACAGTTGGTATCCGGGTATTTGTATTTCTGTATCTGGGTTTTGGTCCCACAGCCATGTCTCGGAAACGCAGAAGACGTCGTATTTGTTTTGTTGTATTGTCATTGCTATGTCATCTTTTTTGGTCTTGGAAAGAAGATCTCGAACATTGAGATGTCCGACTCGAAAACCTCTAGGTAGGTTTTGATCTATCGTTGGTACTGAAGGTACTGATGGCGCAACAGTGTTGCATTCATAACATGTCCAGGAAAGATTATGATTTTTGAAGTTTGGGTGTTTTTTCTTATGACATGTGTTATGAAACGGTGTGAAGCATTGATTGCAAATTAACTGCACTTTTATATCCTGTTTTTTGCAGATGTTGCATGTGTTTGGTTGGTTGTTGGTACATGATAAGCATTTCCAGTCACCTCCATTATTTAGTTGGTGAAACGTTGCGTAGCTGGGCAGGGGGATCATGCACGTACGATGATAATTTGAAGAACATGATACACATTGAACGGTCAGTTGGTTGACTCTGCCTTCTCTCTGGCATGTTGCACAGTTTGGGCCTGGATTGATAAGATTTTGTCCAGCAAGTAATAGTAACAGCAATAGCAGTCGGTGAGATGTAGCTCCGGGTTTACTTCTTATCTTTGTAGATTTCTTCTGTTTGTGCCATGAATAGGAACGATACGATGAGATAAGGGAAGGTTTACCATATAACAGTATATGGAAGAATTGAGCATAATGAGTACCCTCACTACTTTTAACTGTCGGTGTTTGATGTGGTATACCTCTTAATGTATTTGTCCCAAGGCGAACAATATTTTCACTAAAATGCAGTTTTTCAAGAAACTTTATATTTTTGCTTTTTGCACAATAAATAGAATCTTCGCAGTTTAGCCACTTAACTCTTCTGATAGGGCACGAATTTATCTTTGAAATGATAGTATTATAATTAGAGTAACTTATCAAAACTGCTAGCAGAATTGATGTGAAAATAATGTAACGAGAGCTTGACTTTTGCTGGTGCTCCATGTCTTTCCATTCCTTTCCATTCTCCGACGAAGGCTTGGGTTTCTCCTTCTTGGCTTTCTTGTCCTTGCTGAGAAAGCTTAATCTGCTTCGGATTGATCGCTTCTTTTGGACCTTTTTCTTGTCGACCTCTTCGCCCTCCTTGGTGGCAGGAGTGGTCGGCTCAGCGGTCTCGTCCTTCGCCACCTCCTTGGTCTCGGCCTTAGCATCATTTTCCTTCTCCTTCGGTTTCGCCGCTTCTTTTTCTGCCATCACTTCTTCGCCCTTCTTCACGGCTTCTATTGCAATATCCTTCATCAGATCCTTCACTTGCTCCTTCGCCCCCTCAATGATGTTGTTGGTTTCATTTTTGCCAGTGTCGCCATTTCCGACGTGATTGTTCTCGTCGACTGCGACGTCTCCCTTTCCGGGGGTGGAGATGTTGACAGACTTGCTGCTCTTGTTACCCATTATGTCCAACGATTAGTAAAAACTGGCTAGAAGATCGTCCTACAGTAAAACTCGTGAGATGATGAAAAGTACTTCAACAAGAATGGAGTTGAACCAAAGAAATCCTTCAAAAGTCGAAATAAGGAGAAAATATAGCAAAATCCGAAAAACTACAACAATTAACTTGAATCAAGGTGCAATAAAATTATGCCATTTATGGAGAAAGAGGACAAATTAAACCATCAACAACACGGATATCGACCATACCGATCCACACAGAGTGCTATCCTTAAATTGACCAACGAGATCCGGAACACTGGAGACGCGCGTGAAATTTCAGGAGCAATTTTTGTTGATTTCTCTTCAGCTTTTGACAACATTATTCATAGTCGTCTCTTACAAAAGATGGAATCATTAGGAATCACCGGAGAACTAAACAAATGGTTTGCAGCTTATTTCACTAATCGAACCATGTTGGTGAGAAGAGGAAAGATGAAGTCTGCAGTTCACAAGCTCCTTCGAGGGACTAGCCAAGGTAGCAGCCTCTCTGGACTTATCTTCGACATTTATGTCTACGACATCCCATGCTGTATCAAAGAATGCAGCATTTATCAATATGCAGACGATCTCGTTCTGATTGCCACAGGAAAGACGATAAATGAGATCAACGATAAATTGCAAAGAGACCTCCAGAATCTACAGGATTGGTGCCATCAAAATGGGATGGAAATAAACATTAAGAAAACACAAAGTATGACTTTCTCCCCTGCAAACCTGAGAATAGAAGGAGAGGTGAAAGTGAAAGTAGGCATGCAAACAATTGAATGTGTCACCTCCTTCAAATATCTTGGAGTAATTTTAGACAGAAGTTTAAACTTTCATTTGCATATCACTAAAGTCTGTTCTGAAATGAGTGCACGTATGTATATGATAAATAAGTATAAGAACTACTTTAGTAGTAACTGGTTGAAAATCTTTTGCACTTCCATAATATGTAGTAAATTGGACTATTGCTTGCCTGTATATGGAAATATGTTCGAAACTGTATGTAACAGAATTGATAAAATTTTACTTAGAGTTGCAAGATTAGTGATCTTGAAAGATAAAAAGATTTTAATGTATGACGCATTCGAAAAACTAAACTGGCTATCATGTAAAGAGAGGTACGAAGTGTATACGCTAGAATTTATATTTAAACATATTATTTTAAATCTCCATTGTTCAAATGTTTTCCAGAATACACCCGATCGGACCACAATAAAAATTTAAGGTCAAAGAACGATTTTGTACTACCTAAAGCGAAAACTAAGTTTGGTCAAATGTCATTTATGTACCAATCAATTAAAATGTGGAATGCTTTACCATATGAAATGAAAGATAGTGAGCTGTTTTCACAATTTTACCCTAAGTTAAGAGAATATAAATTAAAGCACGAGTATAGCGAGAGTTGAAGTTGTTTAATATATAAAGTAATCGAGTATAGAATTAGGATATTGACTAGAATAGAATTTCCCATTATGACCTCTGTGACATGGTAATGGAAACAATGTGTACCTACATATTTTTATCGCAGTCACTTGAATAAAGATTGAATTGAATTGAAGCTTGGAACACCTCGGAACACGTGTTCCGGGTCGTGTTCCTCGATGGTCCTCATGTGTTCCTCATGTGTTCCTCAAGGAACAAGCTTGGAACACCTTGGAACACGTGTTCCGGGTCGTGTTCCTCGATGTTCCTCATGTGTTCCTCATGTGTTCCTCGGTGTTCCTCATGTGTTCCTCGGTGTTCCTCATGTGTTCCTCGGTGTTCCTCATGTGTTCCTCAAGGAACAAGCTTGGAACACCTTGGAACACGTGTTCCGGGTCGTGTTCCTCGATGTTCCTCATGTGTTCCTCATGTGTTCCTCAAGGAACAAGCTTGGAAAACCTTGGAACACGTGTTCCGGGTCGTGTTCCTCGATGTTCCTCATGTGTTCCTCATGTGTTCCTCGTGTTCCTCATGTGTTCCTCAAGGAACAAGCTTGGAACACCTTGGAACACGTGTTCCGGGTCGTGTTCCTCGATGTTCCTCATGTGTTCCTCATGTGTTCCTCAAGGAACAAGCTTGGAACACCTTGGAACACGTGTTCCGGGTCGTCTTCCTCGATGTTCCTCATGTGTTCCTCATGTGTTCACAAGGAACAAGCTTGGAACACCTTGGAACACGTGTTCCGGGTCGTGTTCCTCGATGTTCCTCATGTGTTCCTCATGTGTTCCTCGGTGTTCCTCATGTGTTCCTCAAGGAACAAGCTTGGAACACCTTGGAACACGTGTTCCGGGTCGTGTTCCTCGATGTTCCTCATGTGTTCCTCGATGTTCCTCATGTGTTCCTCGGTGTTCCTCATGTGTTCCTCAAGGAACAAGCTTGGAACACCTTGGAACACGTGGTCCGGGTCGTGTTCCTCGATGTTCCTCATGTGTTCCTCGGTGTTCCTCATGTGTTCCTCGGTGTTCCTCATGTGTTCCTCAAGGAACAAGCTTGGAACACCTTGGAACACGTGTTCCGGGTCGTGTTCCTCGATGTTCCTCATGTGTTCCTCATGTGTTCCTCAAGGAACAAGCTTGGAACACCTTGGAACACGTGTTCCTGGTCGTGTTCCTCGATGTTCCTCATGTGTTCCTCGGTGTTCCTCATGTGTTCCTCAAGGAACAAGCTTGGAACACCTTGGAACACGTGTTCCGGGTCGTGTTCCTCGATGTTCCTCATGTGTTCCTCGATGTTCCTCATGTGTTCCTCGTGTTCCTCATGTGTTCCTCAAGGAACAAGCTTGGAACACCTTGGAACACGTGTTCCGGGTCGTGTTCCTCGATGTTCCTCATGTGTTCCTCATGTGTTCCTCGATGTTCCTCATGTGTTCCTCGATGTTCCTCATGTGTTCCTCGGTGTTCCTCATGTGTTCCTCAAGGAACAAGCTTGGAACACCTTGGAACACGTGGTCCGGGTCGTGTTCCTCGATGTTCCTCATGTGTTCTCGGTGTTCCTCATGTGTTCCTCGGTGTTCCTCATGTGTTCCTCAAGGAACAAGCTTGGAACACCTTGGAACACGTGTTCCGGGTCGTGTTCCTCGATGTTCCTCATGTGTTCCTCATGTGTTCCTCAAGGAACAAGCTTGGAACACCTTGGAACACGTGTTCCTGGTCGTGTTCCTCGATGTTCCTCATGTGTTCCTCGGTGTTCCTCATGTGTTCCTCAAGGAACAAGCTTGGAACACCTTGGAACACGTGTTCCGGGTCGTGTTCCTCGATGTTCCTCATGTGTTCCTCGGTGTTCCTCATGTGTTCCTCAAGGAACAAGCTTGGAACACCTTGGAACACGTGTTCCGGGTCGTGTTCCTCGATGTTCCTCATGTGTTCCTCATGTGTTCCTCGATGTTCCTCATGTGTTCCTCAAGGAACAAGCTTGGAACACCTTGGAACACGTGTTCCCGGTCGTGTTCCTCGATGTTCCTCATGTGTTTCTCGGTGTTCCTCATGTGTTCCTCAAGGAACAAGCTTGGAACACCTTGGAACACGTGTTCCGGGTCGTGTTCCTCGATGTTCCTCATGTGTTCCTCAAGGAACAAGCTTGGAACACCTTGGAACACGTGTTCCGGGTCGTGTTCCTCGATCTTCCTCATGTGTTCCTCGATGTTCCTCATGTGTTCCTCGGTGTTCCTCATGTGTTCCTCGGTGTTCCTCATGTGTTCCTCAAGGAACAAGCTTGGAACAACTTGGAACACGTGTTCCGGGTCGTGTTCCTCGATGTTCCTCATGTGTTCCTCATGTGTTCCTCAAGGAACAAGCTTGGAACACCTTGGAACACGTGTTCCTGGTCGTGTTCCTCGATGTTCCTCATGTGTTCCTCGGTGTTCCTCATGTGTTCCTCAAGGAACAAGCTTGGAACACCTTGGAACACGTGTTCCGGGTCGTGTTCCTCGATGTTCCTCATGTGTTCCTCGATGTTCCTCATGTGTTTCCTCGGTGTTCCTCATGTGTTCCTCAAGGAACAAGCTTGGAACACCTTGGAACACGTGTTCCGGGTCGTGTTCCTCGATGTTCCTCATGTGTTCCTCATGTGTTCCTCAAGGAACAAGCTTGGAACACCTTGGAACACGTGTTCCGGGTCGTGTTCCTCGATGTTCCTCATGTGTTCCTCGGTGTTCCTCATGTGTTCCTCAAGGAACAAGCTTGGAACACCTTGGAACACGTGTTCCGGGTCGTGTTCCTCGATGTTCCTCATGTGTTCCTCGGTGTTCCTCATGTGTTCCTCAAGGAACAAGCTTGGAACACCTTGGAACACGTGTTTCGGGTCGTGTTCCTCGATGTTCCTCATGTGTTCCTCATGTGTTCCTCTGTTCAGTGTTCCTCAGGAACAAGCTTGGAACACCTTGGAACACGTGTTCCTCGGTCGTGTTCCTCGATGTTCCTCATGTGTTCTCGGTGTTCCTCATGTGTTCCTCAAGGAACAAGCTTGGAACACCTTGGAACACGTGTTCCGGGTCGTGTTCCTCGATTTCTCATGTGTTCCTCAGGATCGCTTGGAACCTTGGACACGTGTTGGTCGTGTTCCTCGATGTTCCTCATGTGTTCCTCGGTGTTCCTCATGTGTTCCTCAAGGAACAAGCTTGGAACACCTTGGAACACGTGTCCGGGTCGTGTTCCTCGATGTTCCTCATGTGTTCCTCGGTGTTCCTCATGTGTTCCTCGGTGTTCCTCATGTGTTCCTCAAGGAACAAGCTTGGAACACCTTGAACACGTGTTCCTCGGTCGTGTTCCTTGCCTCGATGTTCCTCATGTCGGTGTCCTCATGTGTTCCTCAAGGAACAAGCTTGGAACACCTTGGAACACGTGTTCCGGGTCGTGTTCCTCGATGTTCCTCATGTGTTCCTCGATGTTCCTCATGTGTTCCTCGGTGTTCCTCATGTGTTCCTCAAGGAACAAGCTTGGAACACCTTGGAACACGTGGTCCGGGTCGTGTTCCTCGATGTCTCATGTGTTCCTCAT